CTTGACACTGACACACAAATCAGGCCAGTGACCGACCGAATGCGACCGTTCATATCTCATGTTAGCAAGAGTTATATAGAAAAATACCTAGAACATTGAAGTCTTGAGGTTTTTCCATCTCTCGTTCATAACTTAGCGCAGACCACCTTATCTTCGTGATTAGTCAGATTGTATTCAAGTGGCAATAACTCTTGTGACAGCCATAATTTTTGCAGTCATCTACAATATGTAGTCCATTTTTCTAAACATGCTCCCTGCTTGCTTTCACATAATCAATCAAGAGTAACCATATATATCTTCATATACTATATTTTTTGTAGCAAACAGTATCTTAGAAAAAGGAATAGGCCTAATGACAAAAGATACATCGGCAAAACATCTAAACATGGCCAACCTACCCGTAACATTTCCATATCATAGTAATATGGTCACTTAATTGCACATTTCAGATTTTGTATAATATGCAATAAAACAATAAATTGGAAAGAAAAAAGTATAGATTTTTTTTAGTTGTTTGAAATCACCACACCTCTAGACCTTCAATAAACAATACTCGAAACATTCACCAGGCAGTACGCTAAATTAATCAAATTGCATCGTTGACAGCACCTTTGGCATCCAGGTGTACTGCAAATGTTAATATTAGGCTTTAATGTCATTTGTCTCTACGGTTATGTTTTGCTTGATGTATTTTTATTTAACAACTGTGTTGCTTCTGCTTTATAAGACTTTGGATATTGCCTCTACTTAACATAATAGTTTATCTGAACTACATGTGGGTGTCCTCAACAACGTATATAGGATTTCATGAGGTTTATCAACTTTGTGTAAGCGAGCTGCAAATTATCCAATTAGCGATTACATCTTCAGAATTTGTTCCTCAATTTTATTTTGCACATTTCCAACTTCTATAAATTTACTTTGGAGACTAGTAAATTATCTTTAATGAAGCAGGGTAAAAGTGTCCCAATCCACATAAAATGGCTAAATATCCTCAATATACATGCTGACCACTCCGAACGACATTTCGTTAATTGCTGAATTGAAACATGGCTTATTAAGTGATCATCATGATAGAATACTGTAGTTGTCCCAAAAGTCTAGAAGATGCAAAGTACAATTTTGATATTATCTTTTTTTTTATATATATTCTGTTTAATGCAATAAATGACGTCATTAAATAGAAAATGGACTAAGTTTGTACTCATGTTGATCTATTTCAATAAATGAAAATTAAATCAATACCTTGATGTTGTCGTTAAACAAAACTGAAACATGTTATCACATTGGCTTTTGCAATCAATTTCTTTTCTGACCGCATCACAACAGTTACCGTCAAGCATCCTACTCGTAGGATTTGAGTACGCCTTCAGGAAGAAATTCAGCGTTGCTGTACCGCCCGCTATAGTCTAAAGTGAAAAGTAACTCGATTAGATTCACACATAAAAATATCATAAATATCAAAAATACTGTAATATAGAAAATATGATAGTTTGCTATGAATAATAATTCAAGAATATTTGGTCACATTACACGCGCATTATCAGTGTCGACATATTTATATTAAATTAATAATAGCAATTATAATTATTGG